ACGACATCATCTGTTGCACGTGGAACCATGTTCTGTATTGCGATGTAGTTTTCAGTCAGGTAGCTATTGACTACCTCAAATATAAAATGGCTCTTTGTATGAGTTTTGACTCACTCGACAAACAAAATCTCTTCCACTAATTCATTATCATTGAAGAATCGGACAGATGCCACGAGGAGAGCCTCGTCTTCAGATAACGTAGGCTCATCTACTTGTAGTGAAATTTTTTTCAGTATAATACAGTAACTAAGGTGTTTACCATACCCCGAGGCATTTCATACATTCGCCTAGATACAGTCGTATTGCTAAGCCAAATAGCTTGAAATGCTTCTCGTGGATTCACATTCATTAGGTCAGACAGTATTATTAATAATGAACGCAAGAGAATGTTTTCTCCAACACTATGAGGACTGTAATTTTTGGCAATCAACTTGCTGGTTTTAAAAGACGCTGTAAATCCATTCGCCATTTTTTTGCCCTGTCAAAAACCATTGTCCTTCAACTTGGTCTGTTTTCGAAACTATCCCGCAGCTTTCTGAAAAAATCCACATACTTTCCTCTTGTGTCCTGATTAACACTTTCCAAATGAATTTTCAGGTTACTTGGTCGCATACTTTCATTTGAAAGAATGTTTGACAAATTAATCACAGGCAGAGTGGGGTTGGTTTTGAGGTGATGCGATGAATCCAAATGTCAGGTATTCCACAGAGTCATCATCATCAACAGCAGTACATCAGCCATTTGAACTGATGCTTCGCTGCCATACAACCATGAGGACCTATGAAATAAAGAGTACTAGGACCGACACTTGTTCTTTGGCGAGGAGTTACTTTCTGAGACATGTCATTGTAAACGGTTAATAGGTAATATAACATTGCTATTGTTTTAGTTTTCTTGCACAGTTATACCATGGGTAGTAAGTAACATTATTCGACAGGGTGAAACATGCAGATGGCATGAATTTATGGTGCCACTAAATGTACTTCTTGCCTCAAGGACGTATGTTAAACATGCTTGTGACATCAGTTGGTGGCCAGAATATAAAAATGCAAGCGTAGAAACACTGTTAGAGGCAACCCAAAGGTGGTTTCTGAGAATGATTGTGAAAATACCGTGGACAACTAAAAGAAGTGAAGCAAACTATTTGACAAGAGCCAATGAAGAAAACAAATGGAAAGCAAACAATGATAATGCTTATTGAACACATGTTCATTACAGGAAAGTTAGACCAAACAGTGACAACAGGTAAAATGAATTATAGAAGAGACGAACACGGAAGAGAATGCCGGATAGTTTAAGTAACCGACACGGGAGAGTCCACAACGAAACTAATAACGCACATCGGCTGTTGCCAAACATGGTACCAAATGCGTGTTGGAAAGGCATTTGATTAGAATGAGTATTAGAAGAAGGATCCTTATGTACACATTATGTTACATATACTCACCAAAGAAACCGGATGTGCATGAGTGCGATGAAAGTTGACAAAACAATTAGCGAAGTTGAAAACTTCAGCTGAACTGAATGTGAAGAAAGCGTTATAACGCGTCCTAGCTGTTTCGACTGTTAGTCGGAACGAACGAACGAACCTGTCTCAGGGATAGTACCCCATGCGCGCAGAGTAGCCATTCGAATTCGGAACCTTGCGAGCTAACGTGGCCTAGCCGTCAGGCAAATACGCGATATGAGACTGGAGACGAAAAATGCGTCGCCTAGCGCTACCGCACAGACACACGAATGAGAAAGACTGATCGGGGCACATGAGTTGTCACCTAGTTGTAGTGTGTAGAGGAAAAATCAGTTAGTGACAGTGTGGCTTTGTGCGGTAAATGTCGCAGTGCACTGACGAGAGTTCGCTAGATCCCCTGCAGCTTGCATAGTAGATGCAGCAGGGTTCTGAGTGAAACGCAGATTGTTCATTGTGGATAGGCATCAAAGTCCTGAGGATGAAGCGGTTGTTCGTTGCGCAGTGTAAGTCACCGTATGTTTGAGGTGAGCCCAGCGAAATTTGTACAAGTTTGGCGGAACTATGTCAACTCGGCAACAGAAAGTCTGCCCGATCTGGTTTTCATACTTTCGTAAACAGTCACTTGTGCGGGTGTCATGCACTTCACTGAGCGCTAGTGACCAATGCAGATTAGTGTGTGGAGAGAAACTATCAGAAAATATGGTAAAATGATTTTTCTTATTCGGGTGAGCACAACCCACTTGTCACAGCATGGTCCCCGTAAAAATTTTCACATCCCAGGCCCCGGGGAATTCTCTGTGGCATCCAGGGAGGCCGTATGGCTCCTGTTGAGAATGGCTGCATTAGTAGACGAAGTCTCACGTAATAGCAAACGCAGTTTAACCATATATTGTTATAATAAACCAAAATACAGTGTGCGTTTCGAAATTAAATCATTTTTTGAAGAAAAAGTCAATCGGCACGTTCCCTTCGCTTACCACAAAGGTAACTGAAAAAACACCCTCAGCACAAACTACACTATTCGGCATGGTTAGATATATTTCCACAGCAAATGATTTCAGTTGCATTAAAAGATGTTTGACTTCATATTCCTCTGGAGTTTCTGTGAGTTCCAAATCAGGGTCACTCAGTCCGTTTTCATCATCATCATCATCATCATCATCATCATCATCATCATCATCATCATCATCATCATCATCATCATCATCATCATCATCATCATCATCATCATCATCATCATCATCATCATCATCATCATCATCATCATCATCATCATCATCATCATCCGTAGGACAGAACCGCAGTCAGTATCTCTTAGAAAATAGCATCTGGGTTTGGTTCAGTGCAATTTACCAAGTCATCATCCACTTCAATTAACTTTTTAAATTCTATGTTGTCGAATTCTGCCAATGGAGATGGAATGTCAAATAAGACAACGATATCCCGTTCGAGAGATTGAACAAATCCGGGATTTCTGAAACACTTCTGTATTATTTCCGGTTGAACTATGAACCAAGCGGAACGTATCCAAAACATAGCACTCAAGGCATTAACTGAAGCGATAGATGAAATTCCTGCCGCATGAGAATCATTAGTATGCAATTTTGCCATAGCCGCTTGCATGAGTTGGGATCAGTAGTGCATTTTGAATACTTTGATGATCCCTTGGTCCAGAGGTTGAATTTGAGGTCATACTTTTGGGCAGAAAGTTGTGTAATATTTGGATGCGACTAGGACATTTTTTAATGAATAATGAAGCGTTTCTTCTTCATCATTTCTTTGTCTTTACTTCGGATTCACTCTTCAAGTATAGCAGCAGTCATCCACGCACATCGGTTTGATCTCCAGGTGACTGAAAGGTTCTCAGGATGTAGGTTTTTGAACGCATATGGTTAACTGGTTAACTAATGACCAGGGGCTTTAACTTCTCCCCACCAAAGTGCCCAACAGAATGGTGAAACATTCTTTGGAATGTTTCCCCTCTTATATTTGGCACCTTTTTAAACAAGGCTTCTGTTAGACATCGCTTTGAAAAGGAGACCGCACTCGTCGGCGTTAGAATGCCTTCATTGTTGGAGCCCTTGCAGCGGTTGGAAAATATTTCGCTGAAGTCTTGAACAAACTCTTCAGGCATTTCATTGGATGCACCACAAAAAACTCATTTGGAAATATTATGCTGGAGTTTAAATTTCTCATAGCCAGTCATTGGATGCTTGGAAATCTGCAACCCCCAATTTTTGTGAGCACCTCTTAGCGATTTCTTGAATAAGCGGCCCAGAAATTCGTACTTTAGCTGCCCTTGTTTACTTGAATCAGCGCAACGTAGCCTCATCGACTTAATCGTGCGAAGTTTTCCGTCGCTTCCGCTGCAGATCTCCTCTTTCGGTATCGTATCTCTCCAAAATGCTCCGCCGTCTTTCTTGGGCTATTGCTTTCCAAGAAATGTAGCAGACATACTTCTTCTTCAGTCTTTTAGTTGAGCCATAATGTTGAATTACGCGTTATGACCGATCCCAAATTGATAAAAGCACGGAGTGGATCTAAAGTCTACGGTTCTACTTACACAACATTAAGTACATGCAAAAACTAACGCTGATTGCAAATAGAAATTGAGTGTTTCCCGCCAGAAAACAATGCATTACCCAATGTGTACTTCAAAATGACCCTTAACGTCAATTGATTTCACCCTCAGGCCGACTGGATACACGCTCGACAATTAATGCGGGTGTAGACGTCAATCTAATGAACTGGTGCTTAGACCTGGTGGTCAATCGAGGGTTCGACAGTCACTCAAACACCTGGTTGCGGCATGTGCAATGACTGGATACACGTGCTCAGGGGTAGACAAAGGCTTGCTTGTGGATGGGTGAGGGAGGTTCTAGGTCATTCTGTGGGCGCGGATCTGCGGGGACCCACAATGATCTAGGTAATACACACGCACATAAGCGCTGAAATTCGGGACAAACACGCACATACACATACACACAGAGAACATGTTATATCCTCAAACGTAAAGTTCACTGATTTGAGGGTCAGAAGTCCACCCGTCGCAGTCCTGCTGAAAACCGTGTTATTGGAACAAACGAGTCATTGGGAACCATTGGATGGTCAGCCCACAAATGGTCAACTTATGGAGGTCGAATTATCACTGTGTGTCATAGCCCAAGTGATCAACATACAGAGGTCTGGTTCCTTAGGGTTTACATAGTGACCGTTCAAGTTATGAAGAAGTGGTCAACATAGAGGTGGTCAACTTTGGAGGTTTTACTGTATTGGCGACCGTATGTTGTTGACAAGGTGTGGACGACAGCGCTGAATGTTTGCTTGGGGTATCCAAGTATTACACTAGATCCCACTTCCTTACCCTCGCATTATTCTTCTTCGTTGTCCCTAAATCATGGTCGTTTGACAGTGGACGGTCAGTCCAAAGTACGGATGCACTGCTGTTGTTGATGACGATGGTGAGTTTCATGTAACCCGAGGATAAAGTTTAAAAAGTGATACAAGCAAAGAAGCTGAGTCGTGTGCTCACCGGAAACCTCGAGCATGCTCACAGCCGTTGACGCTGAGACCGATGTAGCCACGGGTACAATTGGCGCAAATGAGACATTCACAGCTGTTGGAGGTATTTGAGCAGGAGGGGGGCCCATGTGCATAAGCGGTGGTGGCTGAGATGGATTGAAATTAGGGAGCATGATATTCGTCGGTGCACCAGACCCCGTGCCCAGTGCGGGTGGAGGCAGATTTGAGAAGATCGGTGGCAGTCCGGGTAGAACGGAAGAAGCGGCAATAGCCATAGCTGTGACGTTCTGATTGAGGGTAGTGTTGTCGGAAACCGGAGTCGCCTGTGACGGCTGATTATAAGTGACCAAAGTGGAAATATTCATGGGCTGCGCTCCGTACAAGCGACGAGCGGCGTTGGCCCGAATAAGCGCATCTTCGTCTTCTGCATCTTTTCCGGAGTCAGGCTTCTCTCCAACGGAACCCTGTGGCAGTGAAACAACGGAAAAGACAAAAGATTGAAACTGGAAACGAGAATGCCATGGATAAGGTGCTGAAGTCTATCAGAGCAACAGTGTGATGTAATGAGCTGAGGAAATTGAAAGCCAGTGGAAATGCTGAGCGTGGTTGCAATAGCAAACGACAGGACTAATGTCACCATTACAGAAACGAAAGCGTAAGGTCATGCAGGGTAGGTAGTGTGAGACAGTGGTGAAACCCTTACGATCCGACGCTTCTTGACGCGTCCACTGTCCTTCAGAGAGCCAGCCTCGGCAGAATCTGCCTTGGAAGTGCGTTTGATACCAGGTCCACCGAGTTGCTCTAGCTCCTCTTGAGATAGGCGTAACAGATTTTCCAGTTGAGTCAAGTTGTCCGCAGTTTCAGACTGGTTAGACTCGTCCGCCCACACGACTAGTTGTACGGCAAGCATCCGGGCCAAATGTCGTATCTGCGCAGATGTTCCCGCGGCGGCAATCGGCGTATAAGTGGACTGGAAGGCAGCTGGCATCTGGTCGGGCAAAGTGACCATGCTGTGGGATCACAGAAAGTAGGAACCGAGGTAAGATATCCGGGAACAATGCAAAGTTCATGACGACTACAGGATAGGCACTTAGACTGGGAGATGGGTTATTACTATCATTTCATTATTGAATAGTATCAACTACATAGATCAAACCAAGCGAAGCCGAACGCTGCCTCGAGACGCGTCAGCGATGATCGAACTCATGTGTGGATACGTGGAATAATATCCTGGCAGCGATCAATTCGTGGCACTCGTTAAGCCGGTAGAATCAAACGTAGTCCCCCTCGAACGCCACTTATAGTGACTTTAGGACCAGTGACCGAAAGGATAGAACGACTGTCTAGTGATTCAAAGTTCCCCGATTTAAATTCGCGTAGGTGAGGGCGACCTTGCAATATGCACCCAGGCCGACAGCCACCGGCTGCAAAGTGCCGGCGTACTGCTGATGCCTTTGCCTAGGTGCGACTTGTTGCGTGGAAGAAACGAGATATTATACTGTTGAACTCTCGAGTAAAAGTAAATACTTATCTGTGAATAACTAAAAGTTCTTACTATTACGTTTATTATGTAACGTATTAGCAGTGTATGTCGGTAAATCATTTTAGGGTAGGGTTGAGCCGTGATCTGCTCTGGTTATTGCATGCAGGCAACAGGGTCAGAAAACGCAACAACACCTCACTGTAGATCGTTCTCCATAGCTGGACGTCCTACAAGAGTGAGGATCTCCCATAGAGGGTGCTGGTCTCCTGGCGACTGCCCAAGTCTAGTGGCTCGCTGAAGATTTGGCAGCGCTACGTCGATTAAACGAGATGAGAAACTAGATTCCAAATTTGTCAAAGAGAAAATATGCTTTACTATGGGGATGGAACATCATAGAGGTACATTGAGATTCCTTGAATGCCTAGTTCACAAAAGCGGAGGAAAGAAAAAGACAATGATATATTTTGATAAGGCTTTCATCCCAATAGTTCACAAGCTACATAGCAGAGCCTAGTCCGGAAAAGCGCCAGACGCGTTTCGCCCTATTGGGGCTCGTCAGTGGCGCGCATTCCCTCGGTCCCGTAAGGAGGATCTAACCCATGACCGCTAGAGGCAGATGCCAACTAGCCAGCAGCTTAAGCCACAGCCATGGGGGACGTTGGCTCGGCTACATAATTTGCAAACTAACTGAGACATAGGTGGTGCTATATTCCAGTTAGTTTGCAAATTATGTAGCCGAGCCAACGTCCCCCATGGCTGTGGCTTAAGCTGCTGGCTAGTTGGCATCTGCCTCTAGCGGTCATGGGTTAGATCCTCCTTACAGAACCGAGGAAATGCGCGCCACTGACGAGCCCCAATAGGGCGAAACGCGTCTGGCGCTTTTCCGGACTAGGCTCTGCTATGTAGCTTGTGAACTATTGGGATGAAAGCCTTATCAGAATTGCAACTAAAATCCGGCTACTTGTGAGTAATATAAAATCAATGATATATCTCAAGCCAATAGGTACGGATGCAGAACGCCATTACAGTTCGGGTCATCAAACGCAAGTCTATGCTGCTATCACACCCTTTCTGCTTCACAAGATCCAGACACTGTGCACAGAGAAAGCTGATCGAAAAAAAGAAGTGAACAAATTACTAGATAGTGGATGTACAAGGCGGTCAGTGAAACGTCAGGTGCAGAAGTTTTAAACCCACTCCAACGGCGCACCACGAAGTAGGCTTGGACGGTGGGAATTTCCTATAAAGTAGGAATTCCGGTCACCCGGAGGGTGTTAAACAAGGAGAAAAAGGGTGGATTGTAAAAGCAGTCAGACCCCATTCGATATTGGCTGGGTTAAAGGGATCGATTCCCACAGCTAGTGTGGCAAACTGTCAAGAAGATAATTACGAAGACTGTGTCCGAGCATACATAGGCCAAACCGATCAAAAAAGGTGCACGTCACCGATGGCAAAAAACGAGACGGAATACAGAGCCTTACTAACAGATTCGGCGGCAGCGGTGCATGCCTTAGACACGGGGCATGAAATCGACTTGAGCGACATTCGGATCATTTGGATGGGGTCGCGATTAACACTCCAAAGATTAAGTGCCGAGGCGGTGAAAATCATCAAAGGGGTGAACAGAGTAAAGCTGTCCAATGAGTGGCGAGCTGTTTCAACCAGGCCAGGCTGAAGAGCATCGGTGGATGGATTCAGTTTGGAAAGTAAAGGTCAAACCACTCCCATCCTCAACACTGGCGACGACATGGCGTAAAACACTAAGGACGTTTTTGTTTTTGATGTTTGTGGCGTTTGCCCTCCCAATTCACCATAAGTGCCACGCCAAGTAAGTACTGGTCCACATGACCTAACGAGGCTTTCGTGGTAAAATTGAAACGTTACTCCCCAAGTATGCCAACCGATGGTTTTCAAACTCATTAGAACTTGATAAATTCCAGGTGTGTTCCACGATGTTGAAATCAGTTTGCTTATTAGAATTAAATAACGCGACAGTGTGGTGGAAATGGCGAACACGTGGCAAAGTGGTGATACAGAAAGGTGCATTGTCAAAGCTAGTTAAAACCAGCAAGGAACGGACCTTGATGGGACTGCTCATCAGGCCGCGGATCCGCCTGAAGCGTATCAGAGTTATAGTCATCTGCCGCTAATTAGGATGGATATGCTACGATGCCCTGTGAAAGTTGGTTGTTTTGAGCTGACCAGCCCACGGTAAAGTAGACAGTGCAGCATAGTTGTTTGTCGACTCGACAACAGATGTGACGAGAAAAAGAGATACACAGATCAGTCCAGGCGCACTACACTTGCTGCGATGAAGTCAGGGGAGACGTTCGCGTAAACGATTAAAAGTCCTCAGGTGAGAAAAATATAGAGATAGCATGGAAATGAAAGAAATTAGCTCTCCACAGCCTTCAAAGGGAGACAGTGCCGTAAACAAATTCGGACAAATGCGTAGAAGGTAGCTCCTACATCTAAGAAAACTATCATGCTGAACTGTGCGCCTGTATGCTGTTTTGTTCGTTAAGTTCACTTTTCCCGGGATTTGAGCGTCAGTGCAACTGACGAATTGGAGTTTTTGGGAAAAACAGAACAATGAGGAATGAAAATGTAAGGAAAATTCTTGGTGCAAGCATTTGCCGCATTAGGATCTAAGAGGCTGCGGGGCAGATGGAGGACGACTGTGGAAGGAGGTCACACAGATTTCAACGGAACAGAACTGATTTCACTCGGAACATATGCGCACATAGTTTCACGCATAGGGCTCGTGAGAAGATAGAGTCCAGTAAAAACGGTCACACCCCCGTATATATATATATATATATATATATATATATATATATATATATATATATATATATATATATATATATATATATATATATATATATATATAAACATTATAGAGAGAAATCAGGGGTCGCGTCAAGGATGCAGACAGAACGCAAATGGAACATCGTTGTAGTGTGTGTATGCGTGGAAAAGCATTCAAGAACGCGGTGCATTGATACCACGGTATTAATGGACATTTGAGAAAAATCAAACCACCAGCTGTGCAACATAAGCAGGCATGTGTGCTTAAAAATGAGATAAAAACGACGTTAAAAAATGAGGGACAGGATAAAGGGGTACGGTAATGGTAAGATAAGGCGCGGAACTAGCTTCGTGGAAGGGGACGCTGATAGAGACCGTATAATAACATGATGAACAATCTTTTTCAAGTGCTACCAATCCACAGCAGTTGGTCGACATGATTGGGCTAAGACAAGGTGCAAAACACGAAGGACAGAAGGAGGTAATCTATGATAAAAGTGGAAATATGATATTCCTACGTTAGCTTTCCCCACCTGAGAAGGACCAAATCGGCAACATTGGCAGTCGTTAATCGGGGAACGAGGCGCATTGTGACAAAATCCACTTGTGGAAGTTCCAGTTTGGTTTTGCTCACGCCTAGTGCTGTCGAGGCGGTTGGCGTGGAGTCCTGTGTAGAGGATGAGACCGGCGGCTTCGCACTTGCGGCCGACGATCCAGTGCCAGAGGTCTGCCTTTTAACCCGAGGTGCACGAGAGCGGCGAGAGGTAAGTATTTGCATGTCGTCATCGTCATCATCATCGTCGTCATCGAAACGCAAGGCGGCTTCAGCCTGAGGAAAAGGCCGTTTGAACGGGGTGAGCACAAGAGCGATTCGAAAGAAGAAAGTTCATTCCGGCATGGTCAAGGGCAATCGGCACGCTACGAAAATTAAGCGCCGTGAATGTCTGTGTTAATCTGCCTTTCAACATGAATGACAAGGGTAATACTATCAAGTTAGCAGTACGGATGGGAATCCAGCAATCATGAGACCGTATGCATTCTATCGAGCTGCACTAGATGGCCGCACAACAGCTGCGCTTTTGGGAATATTTATGGCCTCAGTCACACAATGGTAGCTGGTTATAATATTCTTGGTGAGCAGACGGGGTTTCCCGTTTCCGACATAACAACCAAAACATATTGTCTCTCAAATGAACTAGAGGGGCAGAAATAGCTTAGCTGTGATCCAATCTGAGAAACTTTGTATACTGAGCGGAGATTTTGGGGCAAACAGTCAACTTAGACTAATGAACCAAACAAAAAGAGAGGAAAAGCAGTGCCAGAGTCCTCTCCATTACAACTGAATTACTCAAAGGAATGAGTGCCGTTTTCATCATTCAATGTTAAAACTGGAGGGATTAATGGGTAAGAGAGCGGAGAGGCGCGATGTGGGCCATGAGGTAGCATCCATACAAATGTGATGCAAAATGACTCAAAGGTGGACGGTCACATTGAATTTCACAATGAAAGATCAAATATGGAGCAGGCAATGTGCGTCGCCCTCAAATGATGGTCCGGAGGTGAAACAAGTGTGCTTTCTGTTCACCACAAACTGGACGGAAAACACCCACCTCAGCCAGTGAGAACTTTCCAGATACGCTGACTCTAGGATCACTTAGAGAAGTTGAGATCGAAGTGAGTCCTTGAGTTTGAAGTGGTGCATTAGCAGACACGATTGCGGTGGAACTTCTGCCAACGGTGGAGCTTGGAGGAGGAACTGGAGCATCCGAAACGGGTAGTGAGGTGAAGGTGGGCCTGCTGAGATCAGCCGTGGTGGAATGGATCAACGGGCCGGGATGCGGCGGCTCTGGCTGCGGAATAAATTGGCGCATATCCACATCGCCATGATCCATTGTATCCGAGACGTCTATCGGTGGGGGAACAAATGGTTGTGGACGATGGAACTCCGAATGATGATGCAGTGCTTCCATGACCTGGATTCATTAAAACAGGATACAAGTGTGCATGCGAAAATTGTGATTAGAGCGGAAGACACAAATTGGAGGTGAATGATGGCCACATGCGACAGAAGCGAATGGGGTGAAATACTAGGTGGAGGTCACCAACGTGAAATGTGTAAACAATCCAGTGAAACAGACCTATCAAAACAAGAGGATGGGAGACAGAAGTGAACACACACTGTGGAAAGATGTAATAATTGATGGACTGAGGAGTTCAGGAGAAGCAAACTGAAGAAAGTAATCTGACTTATACTAAACTTATTGTATATCAGAGCAGCAACGGTTATAATGGACCCCATGAAGTAACCAGCATTGATTGTATCGGAGAGTATCAGCGAGCAGCGCTAGTTTTAGATCATAGAGTACGCCATGGAGTACGTTAAAAACTGTAGTGCGGAAAACTGGAAGACGCAGAGAGGCTATGCTGCCGGTGAAAGACCTTCAAACTAATATAACCCCCAGCTGGAGCTGGGAAGACTTGAGAATTCCTCTGGATCAAAGATTGATGGATGTCCATGACCACAATAACAGACTCCACTTTTAGTTCCGTTAATGACAGGAGAACGGGTGATACAAGCAGAGTCGCTTGCTCGTTCATGTCGGCCGCCAATGTTTGACTTAGTCCTTACGCAGTCAAAATGGCTTGAAACAGAGAGGCAACGGTTAGACGCAAGAACGACTTGAAGGTAAGTGTGGTGCTGGCAAGTACCGAAAGGACGAAACAATTGTTTGTTAATAGGAAGACAGTCGAAAGTAGTCGAGTATAACAACACAACATAGCCGGACAGTGGATGCTCACAGAATGGAGATAGAATAGGCGACTCGACATGCACATGACGGAAAGTGACTCAGTGGGATTTGTTACATAGGCACCCCAGATCATTCATTGTGGAAGTTGGGGATTCCGTAATCATGACCAGAATAGGTCAAGGGTCAAGCTAGGTCTTGGTCGAGCATCCATTATTAGCAACACGTAAATCAACAAGACGCTGAGGTCTCGATATTGAAAGCCAAATGAATGGGAGGAAGCCATAGGGAATAAAAAAGGGCAGAGCTTAGATAAGGTAACGTTAGACGTGCCCAAAAATTACAGTTCCGCCGGACAAATTGACACGATTCAGTCTATGCCCGATAACAAACAACGGGTAATAGATGGATAGAGAATCATTAGAATAAAATGGTAGAACAGAGAATAGGTAATTATCTAACACTCCGACACACGTGGATGATTTAGGTGAATAATGTTTCACGTATTGAAACCATTTTCGAACGAGGACCACACTGTCCAACTACGGGAGCAAGCTTTCCTGGGAAAATGGCAATGTGATACGCGAAGTAGATGTGCCTCAGCCGTCGTGCACACAGAAATCTAGTCAGGTGCTTCGAGTAGCCATGGCAACCGTCTGATAAAACGTCCAACCAGGTTGAGCGTTACGCTTAGTAGACAAGGCATGAGACAATTCAAAAGATTGGCATTCGGAGAAAACAGCAAATTGACAGGGCAACTCACCTCGCTCTGTGTGGCACCCAAGTCGGTGAGCAGAATAGTTATGCGACCTTGATAGTCTGCAACCGCAGCGGGATGACGGAGAAGTTGCAACAGCCCAGTTTTCAGTTTCTTTCGAACTGTGCTCACTTGTATGTCCGAGAAATATGGCGGCAAGGTGACTAGCCGAAGGTAAAAAGACGTCAAATGATGTGATATACAATCACAAACAGACATCCGAGCAAAACAGCCTTGAAAAGCAAATGAAAGGAGGCATCAGCCCTACGCCGACACACAGCACGGACGCTTTGCAGCCACGCAAACACCAACAGTTGCGCGTGGGCTAAGGATACTGTGGGAGTCGCTCGGGCCCTACACGGGTTCAAAACGGCGCCCTAGGATTACAAAGCAGACGTGTGATCCTTAAGAGTACGGGCCGGCTTTATTGTAGGCATCGAACCCGGAATCAGTTGGATATTGGTTGTCACCGTTCCCCCAAGTCACTGGGTCTTGAAAAGTAGTTGCGAGTTACTCGCCGTGTGTTCAATTAAAGCAGTTCGGTTACTGGGACTGTAATTGAAGCAGTACAAACAGCTACGCGAAACCGGCGGTGGAGTGGAGTGGTGCTGCGAGGGGGCAATATCCAACATTTGCTTGCAAATGGCTAGAGCAGGGGCTTAACTGGCTCATCATGGTTCTTACAAATAAACGTAACTGGATCAGTTGCACGCTTTCCCAACCTGGACAATGAGGTTGCAGTTAAAACGACCAGTAGTTGAGCATCCTGGGCAAAGTGAATATCAATCCAAACAGACTAATAACTGTGAATACGTGTAGCGCAGTATACACGACCACAGTTATGCGGTGCAAACTTATAAGACTTACCATGAACCGTTTCAAATGCTTGAACAACCTTATCCATGAATTGGGGACGTTGTCTGGCAATAGTGACTAGAGAATCCATCACAGCTTCCAGTAGTGGGCAACTCATAAAACTAGCAGAAGCAGAGGACTTTCCTTTGACAGGCCACTCCAATAGCGCCGTTAGCAGGCGTTCGGCTTCTTCGCTCAAACGGCGTGGACGGACAAGACAGATGCCAGGTAACAAGGTCGCTGATGATGCAGCCGTACTTGCTTCCAGAACAGCTTGAAGTTGGGCGTTTGTCATGTCGGGTATCTGGTCCAAGGAAATGTCGCCTTCGTTGGCAAGTGGTATGTCCGAGTTTGGTAACCGCCGTGAATGTAGTATAATGACAGCCTGAAATAAAGTGAGGAATGAAACGGCAGTATTCATGGGATAGTTATTGGCTTCGCAACAACGAGGTCAACAATTTAAAGGCGAGCGACCACGCGTCCAAGGTATCGTTAAGTAAGAAAATTCGCAAAAATAGGGCGGATCGCCAAAAACTACATTAGAAAAAGACTGGGTTCAAATCAGCATTGGAAATCTAGTGTCAGGTCTTCAAACAAGCATGCAAAGCAGCAGAGAGTAACAGTTGTGTTTTGGCAATGAAAACACAGGCGGTGTGGTCTGATGGCGTGAGCAGAATTACGGACTGCTCATGATTAAGGCCCCAGGCGAAGACGATAACGGAACAACAATGCAAAGCAGAGCATTATTGGAAGAGAAGACGATAACTTTCCAAGGCCCTCAAGTAAAAGTGACACTAAGCACGCATTCGGTACGTGAAGGTATCAGATTGCACATTCTAAACGTAGAGTTCGATTCGTGGACAAAAATGAAGGAACAGAAGAGAAGTGAGTGAAAATGCTCGATTCTGACCGCCCACTTGCGTGCACCAAAAAGGAATATGGCGCTTAGTGAGATAGAAAACGCAAAAACGCCGTTTCAGGGTTAAAGCATATAAAAGACAACCTTAACGCACTCGTTTGATCGCGCTAGTGAAGCCGACCTGGTGCGAATGTGCGTGTTTGCAAGACTCGGGCTGCAACTCAAGTACCTGGCATATCTTGCTGGAGATTTGGTGGGTATGACCGATTCAAAAAGGCAGCAGACTAAATCCCGAAATGAGTGACACTGTAAACAAGGATAGCGTAAGCGAATCGCCAGGCTCGTTTATTAGCCAAACTGGCGGAAGACAACAGTACCTATGGGGTAGATCACTCTATTTGGTGCTTATGTGGAAAATACAGCTTAAATGTTGAATCACTGGTGTCCCCAGGCGAACGATATTCATTTGATACATCAAAGCGCTGTGTGTCCCGCTAACATAGCAATATCGTTGGGGTTGGTTAGGGTTAGAGAACGCTGTCGATCAAATAGCTGAATCGACAAAATAAGGTCAGGTTTCATTGTGGTTGTCCACGCTATGTATACAAGGTGGACATGTACAATGGGAGTCCAAAAGAGTTCAGTTGCCAGAGTGTAGATAGGGGTCGTATGTTGTTGACTACAGTTGGCGCGCTGACAATAGTGCAACCAATGGGAGTAGAGAGCAGTGCCTTTCCCTTGGTCAAGAAGATAATAACGTATTATGTAGGCAATATACCCTAGATTTGGGTGAAAGTTAATGTCCAGAAAAACCGGTACAGAAATAGTTGAGGGTACAGGTAAAAGTTTTGATGTAAGTCGATAAATGAGTAAATAAATTCATAGCTCGTGGTATAATGAGTAGTGTGGGTACAGTACAGAGAGCAAAACATGAACGGAAAGTAAAAGGATTTTATGTCGGGCTGAAAAGGGACCAGCTTATCATAGTCTTGTGACATACGAGTGAGAGTAATGGAGTTATTTGAGCAAGATAGAGACAAATGTCTACGCGACAGTCGCGCGGTAAAATATAGAGGCATCAAAACAAATTGTTAACAGTGCATTGTGTGTCATTCTCGAGTGATAGGCTCGGCACAATAATCGGATGGTAGCTCTCCGAAACGATGCCCATCCGGTACTGATGGCTCAGCTGGCATGCTTTTGTTTTCCTATCTATTGCGACATAATAGCTGAGGTATTTCTCACCTCTAGCTAATGTGTATAATGATGAATGACCAGTGATAAAGTAGAACGGGATTTTTGTGAGTAGTAGGAGACTTTATTGGATTTTTGTGAGGATTCGTTGAGATTGATCGACCGGAAGCCGCTCAAAACCCGAACAGTCTGCTAGTTCTGTAACATGGAGTGACGGCAGTAAGTCAGTTAAGCTGATCGTAAAAACCCATGAATGTTAATGTAAAAAAGAGAATGGAACCATTTGCAAGACACCTAACAAAAACATCAAGTGTGTGTGGAATCTGTGAACTAGGCTCGCAAAAAAGTGATTTCAGGAAAGAAATGGTACATCCTATGGGGGACAAGCAGTTACTGCGGTAGTACGACAAAACTGTTTCGAGTTACTGTCCTAAACATGCAATGAACACGCGTGCTGGAGTATGCAGTTGCAATGCGAAAGAGGACCCGCCATCCGCAGTCGTATAGGGGGGTAGAATGTACCTAAAGGATCTGAACCGAGTCCCTCAGAACAAACCGACGTCCACTACCGTGTTGTAGTGTTGTTCACACTTCCGAGTCCAAGGTTATAGGTGTGAGTCTTAGAATAAAGCCTGTATCGTGGAGCGAGGAGATGGGAAGCAGCAGTATATGCTCATGGAATTCCAACATCAATGCTTTCTGGGGTGTTTTACGGCTCCATACTGTTGTGAATTGACAGTAGTATCAAGCAGTATCATACAGACAACAGATTACCGGAATTACTGGAGTGCAATAAGTGTAAAGGACGGAGTCAACAAATCGGTGTCATGGCGATGAGAGGCAAATAGACAGAAGTAGCGATAGATTAATGAAAAAAATAAACGTGTTCCTACAGTGACTGAGATAGCCTTATCTCGTAGATTAGAGTGGAAAGACCTTATAACAAAGAACGTATAGATGGAAAGTTGGCCGAATTCATCTAAGCCTCCCGATGAGAAGAAATAAACGCCATTTGTTTTGTAAGAAAACGGTCCATCAAATCCAGTAGCGAGCAATCATTCCTAAGAAGATGAAAACAAGATCGCAAGCCCACTCGCGTATGCTGTCCAGTAGTTCTTCAGCTACCGAACTAATGATTCAGTTCACAATCTGTGATTCCCGCATGGATTGAATATCCTTGAAAACGAGTTGGGTATATGACTGAGTCGCACATAATTCGAGGGATCTAGCAATAACTAAACACGAGCAATGAATAGATGGAAAATAATGATCCTAAGTGCTAAGGTGGCGGATATAACAGCGAAAAGGCGAACAAAGTGTCATATAGACGGAAAAAATCTCAGGGAACCTGAAGAAGTGAGAACTGAACCCAAATGGGGACAAGACGGTCCACGGGCGCTGTTGTTGTAACATGATCCATGCGAAGTGCAAGAAGTTGGTAAACGACGTTATGCGAGGTGCTGATAAGTTCCTGGCTTGAACAGAAAAATAAGGAACATAAAGACATAAAATGACACATTCAGTTAACATATTCACTCCCGAAACATGCACTTGGTATAGAGTACTTGCAGTTTTTATAGAGCGTCCAGATAAGTCATTTGGTTGTGCCTCAAACCAGCTGTCAGTAGCATATTTTACATCAGAAATGTATTTGAAACATCACCCCTTCGTATGTTTCTTCACGTTGGGGAACAGATAATAGTCCGACGAGTTTAGGTCAGATGAGTATGGGGGATCGTGGACTGATTGGAAACACACTATGTTCAATTTAATAGCCACAATATTGGACGTGTGCGCAAGTGTAATGGCCTACAAGAAAAGGATGCTTTCGGTTGGTTTTCAACCGTGTTACCCCATCAATCGCCTCGAGTAGCTGTTCTATGAGGTTAACACAATACCGTCCGGTAATACTGAAATTCTGAGATAGTCCACCAACAGAACACAAAAAACTGACACCGTGACTTTGTGGCTGATTTTTGGTGCGGAACTTCTATGGACGCGGGGACCCACTGTGAACCCATTCCTTTATATATATATATATATATATATATATATATATATATATATATATATATATATATATATATATATATATATATATATATATATATATATATATATCATCATCATCATCATACACGTTAGCTAGAGGTGGGGAACACCTCAGCTACTGTGCCGCAATACAGAGAAAAAAAGGAGAAAAAAAATGCAACTGGTGCAAGCTGGCTGAGCTACCGGTAACGGATGGGCATCGTCCCGGTAAGCTACCAGCCGGCTGCTTTGCACCCCAAAAAATTAATATGCAAAATTATAAAAGCCTAAATAATGAGATCGTGGTTGTAGGGGGAGGCTAAGAGGGATGGGGTGGGACAAAGAAACTCACAGCACGAACGCCACTGAGGTCGGCTCCCAGCCATATCAGCAAGTGTGTCCAACCAAACATTTGCATCTTCTTTCGGACCCCAACCAGGGAGCCGAGACGCTCGAAACGAAACCAGCTCAGAAGTGAGGGCCTTCATTCCTCTCGACCAAGTCATCGCTTGGCCACCCTCCTCTTCTTCTATCCACACCCCCGGCGCGCAATATATATATATATATATATATATATATATATATAAGCCTAAATTTCATCCTGTTACTAAGCTAGCGGTGTGGTAGTTAGTTCAGTTCGAACGTGGTCCACAACAAGGAAAATGGAGTAGCTGGTGATTTGATCGGAAGAGCTGAATGAAGAGACTAGAGTCTAGCTTAGCATCCATTGCATTACTAGTCATTAGGGACATTGAAGATACGTTGACAATAAATGGTACAAAATAGACCTTGTACCGTTTGCTGGGGTGATTCAACTCCTGACCACACAAGGCTTATATTTCTGCGCTCATTTAGTCGCCAGCATCGGTTGCTAGGCAATAGTTCTGTTATTGAAGGATTTTTAATAAATTTAGACGGTGATTTTACTCCAGTATATAGTGTATGAGAAGATTCCTTTGCTGTAATTGCTAGTTATAAAGTTTTGTTCTCAATGCTAAGAAGCGGGTGCAGAGCTGTATATACAACTGCTCCTGAGTAGCGTAAGATATATTTTTGGCTTGACGTAATTACCATGTGAAATGACGGGCGAATAAAAAATACGGCGGGTGTGACTGAGTGTTAAAGGTATGTACCAAATGTTTTTTCACTGCTAACGTAAAGCCAGTCAGGTTGATTGAAGATAAACCGTACGGGGACATCCCAACAAGTACCAATGACGGACGAGCTATATAAGCATAAGAAAGAACCCCAGAAGTATGGTGGAAAGAAACATGATCCTAGCTTAGTAACGAGCAGCGCATCGGTAAATAGGAAATACCTCAATAAGACTGATCACTCCAGTTCGGGCACCTTCGTTCAGAGCAACAGGACGTACAAACCCAAAAGCAGATTGTCCAGGAACGGCCAGTGGAAGCATGAGTCGAATAATCTCATCTTTCAGTTTGGCAACACTACGGAATGTCTCAAAGGCGACATCGGCCGCAGAGTCAGCAGGTATGCCACTTGAGCTCACAATTGTAACACCAGATTCAACAAGGCCCACTTTCACAGCTCGCGCCAGTGAAATGCGATAGATTGAGATCAGCGCTATAGTCAGACAACGAAGGAGATTGAACGATGGTGGCTCTTGTTGTATCGCAGAGGAAAACAAGTAGAACATGTAACCAATGGCCTTCTTCACCAAGCTCGGATCCACATGACTAAAAAGAGGGAGAAGATTACATGCATCGTGGAGTAATCAGGTTAGCAGTTGGGAAATGATGGCTTGTTGATTATGCATTGGTCATGGGTTAGGCCCTACGCCATTCATGCATTTCCAACCTATTAGTGGCGAGGTATGAACGGTTGCAGGTAGTGAACCATAGGTAGCCTCTCGACGTGGTCAATATCGACTCCAGTAAAGCTGTCGATAAAGTGAACACGAAGTCCTCTTAAACAAGCCAGAAGGCATCAACAGTACGCCAGTACGCAGTTCAGACACTTTGCCGCCTCACAACCACCACCAGTTACGCATGGTCTAGAATACTGCGAGGGTCGCCCGGTTCCCTACGCAGGCTCGAACCCACGCCCACGGATTACAAGGCAAGCCTGTGATCCTTTAAACTACGGGCCGGCCTCAACAAGCTGAGGATGTGCAGTGTTAGTGGCTCACTGTACCACTGGATCAGCGACTTTCTTAGTGAGCAGTAGTGGACACAAATGGAGGATCATCCAAATGACTAGTATCCCTCCCAGTGGGGCATTCCAAGGCATACAGTGTTGGGGCCCGTTTTGTTCCTGATCTACACCAAGGAAGTACTTCATCTTCTCCGGTTGCCTTGTGTGCCATGTTTGCAGATGACCTGGAGATTTGGAGAGTAATTGATGCTCTCGACGACTGTAAGGTACTTCAACATGAGCCCAATCGCTTGTCGTTGTGATCTGCAGACGTCGATTGGCCGATCAATCCAGTCAAATCATTATTTGTGGGCCTGAGAAAGGGTGGTGATGGGTGTAAGCACACTCCGGCCGGTCCCACACTTTACGTGAAGGTTCTGGACATACTCAAGCTGCGATTTGAGATCAATGAACAACACGAATAGGCAATATGGGAACGGACTACACATGCTTTGAGTGCTCAAACAGTTTCTGCACTTGGTCTGAAGAACGAGTAATCGGTACTCCTTTTTCATCATAAAACCAATGCTCGAGTACGGTTCGCCTGTCTAGTGTCCAATCACATGCGCAGAAATGCAATGACTAGGATGTGTTCAGAACGTAATCAGGCTCATCCCCAATTGACGAGGTATGTCGTACGAAGACCGAGGTAGGAGACTGGGGCTGCACACCCTGCCGTATCGTCGGTTTCAAGTGGAGCTCCTAATGACGCACAGGATAATGTATTTAGGTGACTTCCCTATACTGAGGTCAATGTTGCAAGTAGGCGCACCAAGCAGCACTAGGGAGCACCGGTACAGGTTTGTGGCACCGTACCCGAAGTGGCGAAATAGTGGATCAATTTGCCCGAGACGAGTGTATAAAGCTTATCTTGACTAGGCGAAATCAGTGTTGGAATTCAAGAAATTCCTAGACGTCCACTTTGCGGAGTACAGGTTTCGAGAAGGCATCGCCGGTGATTAAGGCTTCGTCGTACAGTTGAATTGCATTGATAACGAGTGCGATAAGACGTCGATGGAGCAACACGGATATATGTTCTAGATCCCTAGCTTCAATATTCACATTTCAGTAATTAGTAGAATTGAGTGACTTCGGAGCATCCAAGTACACAAGCGATCAACGCGAAGCACCGACTCATGGCCCCGGTTTACTACTGACATCTGCTTGGACATACTGTGTGTCATGCGGCCCATACAATTATTAGGCGTCGTGAACGAAAGTCAGGTCATCTGGGTAGATAACCAAGTTCGTGGCAGTGTCAAGTTTGCATTCACTGACTGTTGTTAACTCAATGGTAGTGGTAAGTTTACAGAAATAACGAAGTAGCTAAAATGATTCATGATCCGATCACCGGCAACATAACAGAGTTGAACAGGACTTATTAGTTGAAGTGGGACCGGGAAGAATGGCCAGACAAATGATCTGAAACAGTGGAACCTAATCCGATGAATGAGATGCGCATAAGTCTAAATGCATATAATCACGTTTTTCCTCTAGAAAATACATACAAATGAGCATGCATGAGTTAGGGAGCACGGCTAACCATACTCAGATGAAGGCTATCCCTGATAACACTATTGGGCGGTCAACTGTCCGATTTCCGTCCGCTTCCGGATTGGAGTCAGTGTGGCAAACAAAACATTTAGCACCGTTAAACACCATACCGAATGTTGTCTGAACAATCAGAATTATGCGGCAACGCACAAGAGTTTACTAGTAAATGTACACGAGTATGAATAAGCACTGCGACCTTTTCTGAGTGTCCGATTTTCGTCCGATATCGGAGTGAAGTCGGTAGGTGGTAAACGAAGGTTTAGAGTCGGTGAAAAATAGTGTATACAGATGCAAAAAGCGTGTCTAGTATTGCTTATCACTGCTTCATTATTATCCTGCTCGGGTGGCTCTTAGGATGAGAAATATGCGTATTATAATTACATATCTTGTTACCACAAAAATAATGTGTTACCTGTACGTCGTAACGGCGCTTCGATGCCGTGCGACCACCACCAGTCGCGCGCGGGCTAAGTATACCGCGGGGACGCTCACCCTGGCGCGGATTCGAACCGGTGATCTTATGATCACACTGCAAAAGTTCTATCATCATCAACAATACACGTTAGCCGAGGGTGAGTAACACACCTCAGCTATGGTGACGTAATATAAAGAATATAGATTAAACAATACAGACTATATAAGCAAAAAAAGTAACATAAAGCTAAAATCACATTATGCACTGGGTTAAGATCGTGATTAGATGGGGAAGCTAATAGGGGACGGAAGGGATACAGATTAAACACAAAGGTCATTGGGGTCGGTTCCTCGCTATGTCAGCTAGTGTATCCAACCAAACGTGTTCATAGTCCTCCGGACCGCAGCCCGACAGTCAGGAAACACCAACCGACGCCAAGTTCAAAGTGAGGGACCATTTCCACAGATTAAGTCATCGCTTGACATCCTCTCTTCTTCCATCTAGACACCGGGCGTGCAAACAACGCAGGATGCGGGAGTCGGGGTGCTGGCATGCGCAACACGTGCTCAAGCCATCGGAGTCTGGTGGGTGATATAATGGTTCTTAGCGGTTCACTCACTTTTCCTGCACCAAATACGCGAAGCCGAACATGCTCCCGCAGTGTTCCTCCCCCCCCCCAGACATGAGCTAAGCTTCGAAAGCAGCGATGGTCGGACCTACCTAGCCTCTTTATGTCAACTGACGTAACAGGCCAGGTTTCGCAACCGTACAGGAGGGCTGAAGGGACGACTGCATTGTAAATGCCTTTCAGAGCGAGAGTGTCGCGCTAGAGCTACAGGTGGCGGGTTGACAAAAGGGTTCTATAGATTTCCGCAATATCAAATGTTGTATGAACAATCGGACACACAACAATCAACATGAATAAGAATAAGGAATCGATGGAAAACCGCATTGGTAAAAGTTGTCACTTTTTATCTTGACTGTCTGGTTCTTGTCAAAAATTTGTTCCGTCCTCGTCAACATCATCAACAACATCAGTACACCAGCCATTTGAACTGATGCTTCGCTGCCATATAACCATGAGGACCTATGAAATAAAGAATAAGAAGAGGGAGAGAAGGGGAACTTATCTGAAAACCTTAACGCCGTAAGCACACATTCAGGGTCAAGGGGCCTACACTTTGTGTAGACAACATACCGTCACAAACAGCTGGCTATCGCGCAAAGATAAGGCAGCATCGGCGAGACAGCTTCCTTGCGGCTTTCACTGCCACGCGTCATAATCAGCTATTTTCCCGCACATAACTCAGCACCAAACACATTATAAACAGGCAATCCGATTAGGAGACGGCTGCAGACGCGCCACTGGTGTCAGTTGCGAGCCAAGTTTTGTAAAGTTTCGAGCCAAGCACAAGGCGAGTCATGTGGACTCCAGCCCGGAAGGCGAGACGGACCAACGGCACCCAGTTTGGTCGTCAGTGACTTCATTTCCCGCTGCCAAGTCAACTTCTGTCCACCTCGAGCCTTGCGCCATCTACATCTGGCAGACTAAACAAGGCCCTTCTAGGTAAACGGTGACCAGCTAGACGTAGCAGGTGCCAAAGCCAACGCAACTTATTCAGTGCTATCTGTTGTTCTATGGAGCTAGAATGATTATCACTACCTAGCACTTGTCTAAGCACAGCACCGTTGCGGACACGCTGGTGTTCTGCGACAACAGCAATGCTTTGCAGACAACAATGATGAAAGACTTGAAGGCAACTCAGATCTTTAGACCGAAGGGGCCAAGTTTCACACCCCTAGAGCAGAACGGCCCTCCCTGTGGTCGTGTATACACGGCCTTTCAGACAGAGGAAAACTACCTTCTGTCGACAAAGACGCCGCAGGTTTAAGAAGGCAGCTCTGGCCTTTGCAATGCGTGAGCTGAAGTCAGCCTCTATGCGCCCATCGTTACTGATGCAGCTGCCAAGCTAAGTGAGTTGATCAACCACATCGAGTTCCTCGTTAGCAAGCGTCAAGGGGTCATCAAGTGGCTGGCGGTCCTACAGCAACACTTTGCACTATGAAGGTGCGAAGTGCATACCAAATTATGTAACCAGGTTATTTAGGGTTGTTTGTGCTGTCGCAACATCGTCGAAAAGCAAGACGATATCCTTCGCATAATCAAGATCAACTAATCTTTCATCAGGCAGAACCTCAAGGTCTACATCGTGAGATTCCGCAAGGGAACACTCCATGATAGAATCCACGACGAAATTGAACAAAAATGGGGAAATCGGACAACCCTGACGAACGTCCCTTGTGGTCGGAAAGCTATCCGATGGGCCACCGTAGACCTTGACGCGGGCTATAGTGCCCGAGTATAGAGCACGTAGGATGTTCACATATTTCGTGGGAACACCTTTTCACGCAAGTAGTTCGAACAGAATCGATTGATTGATCGACTGAATCATACGCACTCTTAAAATCCAGGAACACAGCTGTTGTCGGTCTGCGGTATGCGTGGCGCTGCTCCAGCCCCTATCGCAAAGTGAATACATGGTCTATACAGCCACGTCCTGGGAGGAAACCGGC